GCGTACTGAATATGTATATATAATTAGATGAGTAGACTGTTGAATCGGAAAGATTCATATCTGATATTCTCGAGGATCCTCCTACTCCAGAAGTGGCAATAGTAAAAATGAGGTATGTAAATTACATATTTGATGTTATATCCTGTATATGTATTATATTGACATCTATTTTATAATTTTATAATATTGTTATATTGTTCCAGGCTTGAAACTTCAGTTGATTTTACCCCTTTGGATGATGAATATGAAGATCAGTATGCTGGGACGGCTGCAACGGGGAATGCATAAATCACTGGAAGATTACCTTTTTTGTATTTCTTATATTAAGTTCTGAATTTAAAGGAGTGATATCCTCTTTTTTTCGTTTTATTATGTAACAAATTCTGGTTTTGCAGTATAATGATCATGATGTTTTAAACTATATTCATTACCGTTAATTATTATAAATTTTTATGTAAGATATATATTTAGATGGTTTACACAATAGGTTTAACCAGATAATCGTCACATCCGCAATCATAATAACTAAATAATGTTATTTTTTATATATAAATAAAGATTAAATCTAAAAAATAATTGTAGTAACTAATAATTATCAAATAAATTAATTAAGGATAAATATAAATTTAAATCGCATTATAGTTATGTGCTAATGATTTCTGTAAAACTCGGTATTTATCTCAAAAAAATTATCTCTTAAATTAGTTGTACTTCTAAAAATGCCCATGTAAATTGAGAAAATTTGCATTTTAATAATAGTCATTTTACTTCATCGATTTTGTAGTTCTCGGTAGTTATTCATAAATAAAGAAAACTTCCGTCCAAAAATTGTATTGATTTAGAACACTTCTTCTTAATCGCTGATATGTATATACTCAAATAAGAAAATATACATATTTGAAAATTAAATAATTTAACATAAAATCGTGATCTATACATTGTAGTCATTCTCGGATTTATCTTTAATAGGAATAATTATTAGTTACTAATAAAAAGGAAAAAATTGGTGCACCATAGATATAATCGTTTAAAACCCTAAAAACCACGGCTTTATATACGATCGTAAGCTTACGATAATTCTCTTACCCTTCTAGGCAACTAATAAAAATAAAAGAAACCATTCTATTAGCTTATAATTATAACTCGATTTTCTCATTAGGGTTAAATCACAATGGTTACACATAACGCAAAGATCTCATGTGACATCTTGCTTGATTCATCCCCTAATGCTGATAACAATGGTAACTTAATGGTTTTCGTTTTTATTTTGCTTATTTTTAATATAATAAACTGAATTTTATGCTTTTACGTGAAAATTTATCTTATTTTTTAAGCCATTAAAAGATTGTCGTTAATCTTTTGTTATACTATAAATTCTTGCAAAGAGACATGTTCGTTTTTGCTTATGATGTTTGGAATAAAAATATAAATTAAATTTTTTCTTATCTTTCAGTTGTTCATAATACTGTTGGCCGAACATCATCACTTAAAACGGCATTCGAGAGGTTACGCCTCTATCAATCCTATGATTGTCTCCCTAAACATCCTTCAAGATTGCATAATCTTCCACATATTCACGGTATGAGTGTTATATTAAAAAAATAAAAAAAACTCATTGAATGATAAATAAATTATATATGTCTTATTATGTATAGATACGTCGAAAATACCTTGTGGTTTAAGAAAGAGGAGTGGGCCACGCGAATTGGGTTCTAAGGTGTTTGGGTTTGGAATATTGTATTCTGAATCAGCTCATGGAGATCGCACAGATGTTCAGTCGGGTTGGTGGGATGTGCCCTGTCATCTAATCAATGAAATTGGTAAAAAATTCCTATCGTAATATCTTTTTTTTTTAGTCGTTACAAATATATTCATAATTTAGTTTGATATAGGACCAGATAATGAATTCGAACATGACATGATTAGCGACTCAGCTAATAGAAGCATTGGTGTTTCTAATGAACATGAGCAAAACGGTACGTCTCTTGATCAGAACAGTCTTCAAGTTGATAATTTATTATACATCTATATAGAGGGACGACTAATATAAAAAAAATGTATGTATATATATATATATATATATATATATATATATATACGAAGGTCCTACTGGTGCTAATCATGACGAATCAAATTACAAAAAAGAGGATCAAACTGATGGTGATCGAACTGATGACATTGGTGAAGGGGACATTGAAACCGATAACAAAGATGATGGCAATGATGGTGATGATAGCGGTAGTGACCAATCGGATACTGATAACAATGATGATGATGACGACTGGTATGATGGTTGTGATGACGAAGAAGAAGATGAAGACAGTGATGATAACGATGGCGACGAATATGATGATCGAGGAAGATGACGAAGATAGTACTGATAGTGATGAGAGTGATGGAATTGACGAAGAAGACGAGGACGAAGAAAGTGATGATTTTGAGGAAACCGAAGAAGAAAATGAAGACGATGACTATGATGAGACGAACGAATGGTCTGATGGTTGTGATGAAGAAGGAGACGAGGACGAGAGTCATGATGATGTTGATGAGAAAAATGAAGAATACATGAGTGATGATGTTGATGATATTCGGAATGATGCATCGGCAGTGAAAACCGAATGTTCTGCTGATCACCAGCCCAAACGTCCATTGGGAAAAAGACTATATATCAACTATGATTTCCATGGAACATCACAAGATCTTGTGGATGGTATCTTTGTTAAAGCTCCCCCTAAGCGCATTTGCGTGCGACGTAGGCTCTTTACTTCAGATTCTGAAATTGATAATGGTGATGAATGTTCCAACGACTCCTCTTCAAATACAGCTATGGTATCTCAAGAGATCCAAGCGTTTCCAATAAAAGTCATACATCTTACCAATGGACCGTGTGAGTTTGAGATTAATGTTAAAGTTTTGAGAGTTTGGACTCATTTGTTTGCACCCATCTGAAAAGCGTCTCGAGGCTGTGCTATGTGATGACCTGGTTTGTTTACTATATAGCCCAGTTTTATATATTTACATTTATAATATTTTTGTTACATATTAATATTGTGATAATTAGACTTTAACAATTTATATCATATGCTAGGGTGATAAAATACATGCCACTGTACCAACCGCATGCTATGCTTTGTTTGAAGACCAGATTGCTGTTGGAAATTGGATTAAGATTCGCTGTTTCCAGGTTGATCATGTATATGGTGTTTTTAGGACAACTTCGCGTCGTTTTAAAATAGTATTGGGTTCACATACTATCGTAGATGGTGATAGTTTTCATTGCGAACGGAATTTTTTCGATTTTATCGACTTCCGTGTAATCCTGAATCGCACATACAGTGACAACTTTTTAGTTGGTAAGTATGTTGATATATGATTTATATTTTGTTTAAGGATAAGAAACAATACTGAGCTTACTATTGTCTTTCGTTTCAGAAATAATTGGCCGTGTTGTAAATGTTGGCAAGTTTCATTCCTGGGAAGGTTATACCTTGGACCAACTGGAGGAAAATTGCATTGATAGCGAATACCAAATTATCACTTTCTACTTGGAGGATTTAAGGTTTGTATTCCTTGTTCAATGTTTTCCCGAATTTAACTATTTGAACAATTATAAGAATACAAGCATATATAATTTTATGCTAATTATTTTAATCATGTAGGCACGTTTGTCTCTTTTGCAAATTGACTGGCAAAAGAGCTTTAAAGTTCTATAAGGACTGGCGTAGTTGTGATAGCCAAAATGTTGTTTGTGTAATCAGATGGGGAATTATTGATTATCTTGGAGGTATGTCAGTTGCATATATAAATTAATGTTTGAATATGTGTGGTATAAGTTTAGTATTTTACTTCTTATTTTAGGAAAGGTAACGATATCGGCTATTCAACCAACATTGGTACTACTGAACCCACATGTTGCGGAAGTCGAAGAATTCAGAGAAAAGTATGGCCTGTACATACCTTTCTATATATAGTATATAATATTATACATAACCTTTTTTATTTATGTTGTTTTATTTTTATTACACAGGATGATTAGCAGTCGAAGCTATCGTCTAGAGAGTGTTCACCATCGAGATTAGATAGATACAATATTACCCATATTCACTATTCGTATTTCAAATTTATGTTTTAGGATACATTTCATAAGGTTTTTGTTTTTTTTATTTTGCATGTTGTTCGTTTCTTTTTAGTGTTCTTCGAATTCTTCATCTTCAATATATGTGAAGTTAGTATTTCATAATTATAATTATTGTTTTTGAATAATTTATTATCAATTGTTTCTCGACTATTGCCTATACATGTTCCATATATATATATTTTAAAGCTAAAGTATCTTTCATAAACATGCGTATACAGTATATATATTTATATCCAAGTTGAAATTCTCAATGAAATTCATATATATCGGTATTGTTACATATATTAAATTTTCCAACGATTGTACTCATCATACTCGAAGGTCTTTTCCTTCTTCGTAGTATTTACAAAAAAAAAAACTTAGGAATAATGGAAATTATGATTATTTTTTTGAAATTACAAAAATAAAAGCGAAGGTTATATTTAGAAATATATTTTTAGAGAAAAATCATATATATATATATATATTTCTAAAAAAAATGTTAAAATTGAAAAAAGGATATTATAAAAGAAGGAAAATGTACAAAGGATGCTATTTTCATTATCATTATTATATTTATTTTATGTTTATGTTAAAATGACTGAAAACATAATTTCACGCAACTGATTTTTGGATAGAAATAACAAATATACTTATATGAGAAATGGAATAAGTAAAATTTACATTTAAATTATGTTAAGTTTTAACATTTAACTCGATATATAGAAATCAATAAAAGATATGATACTCTATTTATTTGCATCGAGCCAAAAGACCTAGGGTTTTTATCAATTCCTATATATATATATATGTACGACTGATTAATCTTCTTCATTAAAACCGTTCAAGAATTTTCGGAAAAAAGAAGAAGATGGAGTCGTCAATGGATAATAGTGTTGACACTAAGGAAGTTGTGAAGTCTTATCTCAAGCCGAAAACAATCGTCTCTGCTCTGATAGATGAAATTGATAGAACGAGTGATCGTTACAAGATAAAGGTTCAGATAATCAATCTTTGGAAATCATATCGTAAAAACAAGGTTACATCCATAGAGATGGTATTAGCAGATGAAGTGGTAGGCAATGTTAATGTTTTATATCTATATACATGAACATGCATCATTTAGTAAAATTATGATATGAATAACTTAAATATTAATTATGTTTTTGACTATATCAGGGCTCTAGAATTCATGCAACTGTTGATGGAGATTTGGTGGAGCAATTTAATTCAGAATTGACGGAAGGCCGTACTATATTTTTAAGCAACTTCACGTTCAAAGATTACACTACTGCATATAGGACAAGTCTTTATCTTTTAAAATAAGTTTCTACAGGACTACTGTTATAACACCATGTGATGACTTTCCTAGGGAACTTCCTTATAGATATTTTAAGGAATTTTCAACCATAAGTAATGGGGATTATGACAACAGTGTTTTAATAGGTATGCTAGATATATTTTGTGTACTATATTTATCCGAGTTATACTGTGATATAATACATCTTATCTGTACTAATTCTTTATAAATATTAATGTAGATGTCATAGGGCAGGTTGTTAGTCTAGAAACTTCTGACGTTATCGCTCAAGGAAAACCAATAAAAAAGTTGGACGTTGTTCTAAGTAATGCCAGGTGAGTTCATAATGATATAATTTATGATATAATATTTGTTAACATCATATATAATTTATTTAGTTTGTTGATTACGTATAGTGATAATCGCTTGACTTGTACGCTGTGGGGAAATTTCGGAAAGAAAGTAATCGACTACGTGACGAAAAATAGTGCGTCTGTGATCGTGTGTGTTGTTAGATTTGCTTCAGTATCAGAATGGAAAGGTATATTTGAATTTAATTGTATTGATAACAGTTGTGATATAAATAAGTTTATCATATACACTTTTTTAGAAATTTCAAAAACTTTACTTCTAATTTCTTGTAGGAGTTTACAGTATTTCAAACTCTTTCAACGCAACACAGATATTTCTCGATCCACATTCTAAACAAATTGAAGATTTTCGAGCCTTGTAAGTAATAAAATCTGTTTGTTTGTGTATACTTTTAGAGCTATCATGAATACCAAACGGAATGTCTTTTGTTAGGTTGCCAACCAATGCATTTGTGATATCCAATGAACCTAAGGTGCCATCATCATCCACTAAGTCTGTTTCATGGAGAGATGAATTCTTTGATAGAAATGAAAGAAAGACAATTCAGGGTATTGTTTATGCTGATACGGTACGTGTTTATTAAGTTTATTTTAAATTAATACATAATAATTATTTGTTTTATATATTTGAGAATGATCTGTTTTTTAATATTTAAATCAAATGCGTTTCGAGTGTAGGAAATGAAATGTGTTGCTGCTGCGACAGTTGTTCGAGTCGAATATAATCCTATATTGTATTATATTGCATGCAGAACTTGCGATAAAACAGTTCATCCAATAGAATCTGATTCTACCGATGACGATTCCGTGCTATTTGATTGTAGAGAATGTGGCGAGGCTGTCTCAGATGTTGTAGCCAGGTAAATGGTTCATTGATTCAAAGTAGTTATTTGGAAAAAAATTTATTATTGGCTTTACAAATATTCATATTTTCGTAGGTATAAGTTAGTGTTGGTTGTTTCCGACGAGTCTGGCGAAGACATAAGATTCTTACTGTTTGATAAAATCGCTAGCGCATTTCTCCGAGTTCAGGCAGATACTTTAGCTGAGGAGGTTGCTGAGGTATATCATTTTATAATACTTTGTGCACATTATCATATAATCTTATGTTATTTATGTGTAATGTCTTTTTATATTTTGATCAGGACGGAACTTTGGTGCTTCCATGAGCTCTTTTTGCTTTGGTTGGGAAGAAACTCCTTTTCAAAATCAGAATAGGAACGGAGAATCTGACTAACAGACGTCAAACTTATAAAGTTGAGATCGTTGTCGATGATGCAGATATGTTGAATAAGTTTGAAAATCATGGAATTCGATCCCTCGAACATGATTTAGAACTTAGGTACTCAGGTAGAGTTGCATCACTGACACCATCGCCAGTATCAAAACGAGTTTTAGAATCAGCCGTTCAAACGCCTAATGTTGACGAAAAAAAATAATAGCAAGAAGAGAGGAAGACGGCAATGAATAAACACATAAGTTTTAAAATCTTCGAACTGATATTCTTAGAATTCTCGATGTTACTTTTTTTTTTTGGTTTTTCATATACTTTAGTACTGATATTTATGCATAATTGAATTTATGGTTTGTTTTATTAGGATGCATTATTGATCCAAAGAAATAAAAATTCAAAACAAGTACTTAACTCTCTCTATAAATTGCGTAGTAACACAACTTACTTTACTGTGAAATATTTCATTTTGTGCATATATGCAATTTTTATATTTTTATATTCTAATAGTTTCATAAATTAACACATGAAATCGTTAAAGTATTTAAGATATCGATTATTCTATTAATATTAAATATTTTATAAACATAAACTCAAAAAAAGACAAAAATAAAATGTTAAATTAGGTTTGTTTCAATAAAGAAAAAATGAAAACCCTACAAATTATAGGAAAACCCTACATATGTTTAAATAGTGTTTCTCATGCACGTATTGTAATATCGTACAAAAAGAAAAAAGAAAACCTAATCACAAACTATGGGGCCGAAGAAAAAGAGAATAACGAAACCTAGGGTCGTTAAGATACCTGTTGCAAATCGTCGTAAGTGTTTCTGTTTCTTTGAAAAAAATGCATGTATTGTTACTTTTGATTTCCCGCTGAATCACCTTTTATCCTTAATACATCAACCGTTTCAAGGGCTGAAACGTATGCACCAACGTTGCCAAAATCAGTTTATCATCAATACATTGATATAGAATCTATTGGACGTGTTGGTATGGCAAAAATAGCCAGACAAAACAGACTGAATATCATTCGATCCAAGCGTGGTTTACCAACAATAAACAATTCAATAGGTTATGTTGATTAAATACAATATTATATTGATTTATATTAAATATATGTAACTATCTTCATCTGATTGTGTAAATTTATAGATATATTGCCAGAGTCCGTTGATGTCGATGATGTTCTATGTTTTGTCGCTACTGATTCGGACACAGACGATGATAAAGATTCAGATGCTGTTCCGCCAAGTAATTCGAACAAACGACGACCAAGACAAAAAAAACTGAGACCACCGAATTATCCTGAATATAATTCATTCGCGAGTTTTGGCTTGATGGAAAGTGGTACAAATCGAAACCAATTCCCTTTTATTAGTATATACAAGTTATTATATTTTAAAATTTTAAAATCAATTATAGGTTATTATGATGATGGTGATCAATCTTACATGTGTGACTATTGTCATGCTTTAATGTGGTTCGGAGAACGTATAAACAAGCACTCTCTATCTTCTACTCCAGTTTTCACGATGTGCTGTCTAAGTGGCAAAGTTCAGCTACCTTTATTGAAAGCTCCCCCAAAAACGCTGTTAAAAAGCTAGTGTATAATCGCGATAATACGAGGAAGCACTTCCGTGAATTCATAAGAGCATACTATATGATGTTTTTGTTTCCGTCACTTGGTGGAAAGATTGATAATACTATAAACAACGGTAATGGTCTGTATCTATTCCAAATGTGTGGTGAAAATTATAATTTGATCGGAGATATGTTACCAGAACCTGGCAAACAACCAAACTTCCTACAATTATATATCCATGATACCATCAATGAAGTTAAAAATAAGATGAATGCTTATGGGTAATCTTCGATTTTTATATATAATATAATATTATTATTTATCTATATCAATATAGTGTTTAATTTTTATAACTAATAATAGTTTCAAACGACTGTTCAGAGATGTTGGTAATTCGAGGAAGCTGAGAGCAGATATCGTGGAGCTTCTGAAGAAGATGTTAGATGATCATAATCCTCATGTTAAAGCCTTAAGAACTGCACGCGAACGATTTGTTGGGAATCAAAATTCTAAAGGTTTTAAGTTGGTTCTTGCAAGTGGCCGAACTACTGATGGTCGAACGCATAACTTACCTACTGAGAACGATGTGGCGGCTTTGATACCTGGTGATTTCGATATGTTAACAGAAAAAAGAGACATCGTTATTCAAAGCAAGTCTGGAGGTTTATACCGTATAAGTGAGTTGCATCTGGCTTATTTACCTTTGCAGTATCCGTTATTGTTTCCGTATGGTGAAGATGGTTTTAGATTAGGTATTGATATTGGCTATGTTGATACATCTGGAAAGAAACGCACAACCATGATAATGCGCGAGTTTTTCGCATTTTGCCTTCAAGACAGACATGGAGAATCCCCAATCATTATGATGTCTGGGAGATTGTATCAGCAGTTTCTGGTTGACGCATATACGATGGTAGAATCAAATAGGCTTCGTTATATATGCCATAATCAAAAGAAGCTACGCTGTGACAGCTTTGATAAGATTGAACAATCTGGTGAACGTGGCAATAATGATATTTCTGGACAAGGAAAAAAGGTGCTTATACCTGCTTCATTCACGGGAAGTAAGAGATTCATGAGGAAACATTATCTAGACGCGATGGCAACATGCAAGTACTACGGATACCCGGACTTTTTCATAACAATTACTTGCAATTTAAAATGGCCTGAGATAACGAGGTTTTTGGAAAAACATGATCTAAAGATCGAGGATCGACCAGATATTTGTTGCAGGATTTTTAAAATGAAGCTCGATAATTTAGTGAATTATCTAACGAAAGACCACGTTATGGGCCACGTTAACTCAGGTATGTCAAAAAGATTAAATATAAGTAAATAGTCATAATATATAAATCGTGCCAAGTTATACTTAAAGTATAGGTACTAATTCGATTTATTACATGTATTTTTAACCTTTTCTAATTGTTTTAATTTTATTTCAGCGATGTATACCATTGAATTCCAAAAAAGAGGATTGCCACATGCCCACATGGTTGTTTTCTTGAAACCCGAATCCAAACTACCAACAGGCGAGGACATAGATAGGTTTATATCAGCGGAGATACCGAACGAGGACTTGGATCCAATTTTGTACGAAATTGTTGGAGACTTGATGATACATGGACCATGCGGTGACGACAATCCAAAAAATGTTTGTATGCATGAGAAAAGGTGTACAAAATTTTTTCCTAAGCTTACTGGATCAGTTACTAAAATCGATGATGCTGCCTTCCCCATCTATAGGCGTCGTATGGATCAAAGAACTATTCTCAAGAGGGGTGTTTTGTGTGATAACCGATATGTTGTCCCATATAATCCAGATCTCTTAAAGCGTTTTCGGGCAGATGTTAACGTTGAGTGGTGCAACCAAACCAGGTCTATAAAGTACCTATTCAAATATAAACAAGGGTCCAGATTACATTAGAGCAGCAATCGAAGATGAAGACGGTAACCCCGTTATATCCCAAGATGAGGTTGAGCAACATTACAATTGCAGGTAACTTTCCGAAACTAATTCTTAAGATTGGATCGCTTGAATAATTATTTAAGTATAATTTTAAAAAAAACAAGATTATTTATTTCTGTTTGATTTGCTCATTCTTAGATACATTTCACCGTATGAATCTTCATGGAGGCTTCTAAAGATTCCTACACAGTACCGAACCACGGCAGTAATGCAATTTCGTTTCATTTGCCTGGAAAACAAATGTGTATATATCACAAAGGAGAGAGCGTTGACCAAGTCTTAAACAAGGCATCGGTAGGTCAGTCACAATTTCTAGCGTGGATGGAAGCAAACAAGGAACATGCCTTGGCAAAGATGCTAATATATGCTGATTTCCCAACAAAATTCGTCTGGGTCTCAAAGCAGCGGCAATGGAGAATACGACAACAAGGTTTTGCCATAGGCAGGCTGGTGTATGTCTCACCTTCCGTTGAAGACGCATATCATTTGAGGATTCTTCTCAATATAGTAAAGGGCCCTGAGAGTTTTGATGATATAAAAAAAGTTAATGGTGTTATATACTCTTCTTTCCGAGAAGCATGCTTTGCGCTTGGTTTGTTAGACGATGATAAAGAATACATCGAAGGAATTAAAGAGGCCAGTTTTTGGGGAACTGGAAAGTTTCTTCGTAAACTTTTTGCTATAGTGCTTCTTTCGAGTAGTGTAGCAGTTCCGATCAACGTCTGGAATGCTACTTGGAAAATATTAACTGAGGATTTCTTATATCATAAAAGGCGTGAAGAGAATGACCCAGGTAAGATGGATTTGAAATTATAAACTATTTTACAAGAATCACATTATCTTAGTTGCTAACAGACTTATTTGTATATCTAGGTTTGGTGTTGACTGAAGCCCAATATAAGAATCTTGGTTTGTCAGATATAGAGAAGTATATGCGCAGAAACGGTCATTCATTATCCGACTATAAAGGAGAGATGCCAGTCCCTGATGATATTGGAAAGTATAAGAAATCAAATCATCTAATCCGGGATGAGAAATCATACGATCGTACAAAGCTTGCAAACGATCATGTCAAGTTGTTTTCAACAATAACCAATGAACAGAAGGATATCTACCATGAGATAATGGATGCAGTTACAAGAGGTATCGGTGGAATGTTTTTTGTTTATGGATATGGTGGGACAGGTAAAACGTACCTATGGAGGCTTTTAGGCGCTGCTCTTCGTTCTCAAGGGAAAATAGTTCTCAATGTTGCATCAAGTGGCATTGCAGCATTGTTATTAGAGGGAGGAAGAACAGCGCATTCTCGGTTTGGAATACCCATAGTTGTGAACGAGTATACATTCTGTAATGTGAGTTCTGGATCACACCAAGCAGAGTTGATTGAAGCAGCCGATCTTATTATATGGGATGAGGCTCCGATGATGAGCAAGCATTGTTTTGAGACATTGGATCGGACTATGCGTGATATACTAAAGTGTGATAAGGTATTTGGTGGAAAGGTCGTTGTTTTGGGTGGTGACTTTCGACAAATACTCCCTGTTATTGTCGGAGGCAACAGCTCAGAGACTATATTGGCAACTGTGAATTTTTCTCATATTTGGTCTGATTGCAAAGTTCTGCAGCTAAAGACAAATATTAGACTGCTTCATGGCGATAATGATTTCAATAATCAAGAGATTGAAGAATTCGCCAAGTGGATCTTGGATATTGGTGATGGAAAACTAAATATTCATGATATCATAGAAGATGAATTAGAAATTCCAGCGGATTTGCTGATAAGCGGAGAAGGTGATCCTGTTAAGAGAATAGTCTCGGAGATTTATGGTCAATCTTACACAACCACCCGTGAACCAGTTTTTTTTCAGGAAAGGGCAATACTCAGTCCACGGAATCAGGATGTCGACGTTATCAATGAATTCATGCTATCAGAACTCAAAGGTCTTCGTTATATGATTTCTCACAATTCCTTTTAATACGTATTTATATTATAAAATATATCAGTACTAACATAGTTTGAAATTTTTTTATTAGGTGAGGAACATGAATACCTTAGTGCCGATAGCATTGATACTTCAGACACAAGCAAAATAGACGAAGTCGTCTATACACAGGAGTATCTTAATAGTATAAAGGTATCAGGACTGCCGAATCATTCTCTCAAGTTAAAGATAGGAGCTCCAATAATGTTGCTTAGAAATATTGATCCAAAGGGTGGTTTGTGTAATGGTACAAGGTTGCTTATTACTCGGTTAGCTAGGCATGTAATTGAGGCAAGCCATATAACCGGGAAGAAAATAGGAAAAAAGGTTATCATACCTAGAATGTTTGTGTCACCACCAGAAGCAAGGTTTCCTTTTAGAATGCGCCGGAGGCAGTTTCCAATTACCATAGCTTTTGCTATGACTATAAACAAAAGTCAGGGTCAGACTCTACAAAAGGTGGGATTATATTTGCCAAAACCAGTGTTCTCCCATGGTCAACTTTATGTCGCCGTGTCTAGAGTTACATCACGCCAAAGGTTGAAGATTCTTATTACAGATAAGAATGGCAAAGCACAAAAGAAGACAATGAATGTTGTTTACAAAGACGTGTTTGAAAACATTTATCGAAATTCGCGGTTGGTTTGAATAGTTTGTTTTGTTTGCTACTAAAAGTATGTTTAGATTATATTGGATATTAGTTATGATATTTTGGTGGTCATTGGTATTTTTAAACTGTTTTATCTTTAAATTTTGTTATATTAAACTGATTTATCTTTTGGATCTTCTTATATTATGAATTAGTGTTGACTATGATAACGTTTTGAATAGCTCTGTTTGTTTGAACTAAAAAATTAGTAAATGATCAGTTGTTATAATATGCTTTTTTAAGTATATATATTTAACATTATACAAATCAATTTATAAGCTTCCAATTATGGTTTGAATATTACATTTTAAACTCAACAAACTTTCAAAATATGGTTAGAATATTAATTTTAAAACACAAAAAACTGTTCAAAATGTGGTTTGAGTATTATATTCAAAACAAAAAAAACTTTTGAAGAACATCAGCCCGCGCAGGGCGCGGGCCAGCCACCTAGTATATATAAAAAAGTCGCATTTAGCTTATTTTGAATACCTCTTTCTCTTTTTTCTCAACCTAATTCACTGAATTTGAACCAAACTTGGAACATAACTATGAATAACTGGATCATGTGTTCCCTGTTGTAGGTGGGCTGAGCACAGCCCCTTTTTCATGATTTCAACTAAGCCCATCAGTGATTCGGCAAGGCCCGACGAAGTCAAGGATCATTAAGGGCCCATTCGCTCCACCAAGACGAGGTCGTTTCGAAGATGGGCTTCATAAACCGTAGGAGTAACTCGCTACGTCGACGCGGTGAGAGTAGCTCGCCACATCACGATATTTAGATAGACAGTCGGTCAGTTCTACCTGCCCGACCGTTCGACCTATGCTGACCAAAATATAACCTAATCTCACTACTATAAATAGCCCTGTAACTTCAATTATTACGGGATCCGTAATCTGAAATAAAGACTAAGAACTCGACACTTACGAATACAAAACTATATACTCTCACCTCGATCAAGAGACCTTGCTTAAATACATTATACCGAGCTCGATTCTATTTAACAAGAATCTCCGAACTGCCCTCCACAAAATTTACTAAATTAACCTCGCGTGCTTATACGAACAAACAATTGGCACCCACCGTGGGGCTAAGAGATTTCTTTCTACGCAAAGAGGAGCTCGATAATGTCAGGAATTCAAGCCAACGAGACGACCAGTCTACCTACATCGACAACTGCCGAGGAAGCGCTCAACGTACTAACCAACGACCAAGAAACCTTGAACAGGCGATCACCGACGCCGAGTCCCGTGGAAAACGCAACCTTAAACCCAGAAGTGCATAATGTAAACCAAATCACACCGGCCAGAACCAATGTCGCGATATTATTCGAAACAATGATGGCTCGAATGGAAGAATTGAATCGCCAAACAAGTGTTCGCTTGAACGAGCTAGCTGCAGCACAACTCTCGTGTCAAGATCAAGTCAACATGTTGTACTCGTCAGAGACCCAAGCACCGGGAAGACAAGCGGAAGAAATTCAGTGGGTGCAGCGTGCCTTATTCGGAGATTCTCCCGTGCCGCCAACAACAGAAAATCACCCGACCTCGAACTGTGGCGAGATGAATACCGAAGCTCCTGAGCACGAAACACGTCTACTTCGAATTAGAAACCCCCAACAAGACGAAGAGATGAATGAAATGAAGGCAAAACTGTAAGCCATGACCTCGCTAGTACATCAAGCTACCAGTTCGGCACCTGAGATCGATCGTGTGCTGAAAAAAAGCCAAAGCACTCCGTTTACAACTCGAATCACTGATTTTCCAATAAGAAATCAAGTAAATTTCAATCTCCCGACGTACACGGGCAACTCAGACCCTAGCCAGTATATGACCCCGTTCAGCATTCAAATGGGCCGAACACGATTCACCCCTGAGGAGAAAGACGCAGGAATTTGCCAGCTGTTTGTCGAGAACCTCAGCGGCGCGGCTCTTGTCTGGTTTTCCAAGTTAAAAGCAAACTCAATCGACAGTTACCAAGCATTGTCGACTGCCTTCCTCAAAAGGTACATGATGTACATTCAAAGAGCAGTGTCCAGCGCTGATCTCTTCCAAATCAAACAAGGTGAAAAAGAATCCCTTCGATCCTTCATCAGCAGATTCAACCGATAGTTTCTCGCGTCACAGTGACCGATGAGGCATCAATCTCGGCCCTCCGGAATGCTCTTCGATTTGACACAAAGTTTTGGGACAGCCTCAAATTCGGCGCCCCGCAAACTCTTGAAGATGCGCTTCACCGCGCCACCTTGTATATCGAAGACGAGGAGGAGAAAGAGATTGCATCGCCAGCGAAGACGGCGCTGAGACAGCAACCTCCCAAAGAAATTCCCAAACAAGATTACCAGGAGCCTCGACAACACCTGGATAATAACTACCGAGGTGATAACCGTCGAGGAACGACGTACAACATTAACACTCAGCAACAAAATCGCCAATATCAACTTCAATCGAACACATGGCAACAGGTGACCGCAGCGAGACGACACCTTTCTGTGATTACCATAACAAGTAATGGCCATCCAACCGCGATGTGTCGCGAGGTACAGGCCTATTTACTCGAAAAGTATCGTAAGGGAGAGATCGCCCTAGTAAACCAACCCCAAAGTACTGCAGCACGCAACAACAAAGCTCGACCAACGGTACCCATCGAGCAGCTTCCATCTCCTCCTCCAACCAGCGAGCAAGCAAACGATGATCCAACAAAGAGAGATCGAGGTAACCAGCCACGAGGTGACACTCCTCCGGCGTCTCGAAAAAAGGTGTTCATGATTATGGGAGGCTTGTCGTCATGCAACGATTCCGTTCAGTCGTTAAAAAAGTACGGCCAACAAGTCATGCTCGCACAGAAATGGCGAGTAAAGGTCCCAAAGCAACTGAAAGAGATGCGATCATATTTTCGGAGGTCGACGCAGAGGGAGTAGACATGCCGCACAATGATCCACTTGTGATCGAGCTGTGAATTGCAGATTGCGAAGTTTCGCGGATCTTAGTCGATACAGGAAGCTCAGTAGATCTGATTTTCAAGGAGACTCTCGATAAAATGGAATTGGCAAACCATCACCTCAAATCCTCCGTGAAGCCACGCACCGGATTTGATGGAGATACAGTGTACTCGATCGGAACAATCAGACTCCCAGTCTACGCTTCGAAGACGACTCGCCTCGTCAAATTTATCGTCATCGACAAACCTGCCATCTATAACGTAATTCTGGGAACACCCTGGCTGCAATCCATGAAGGCGGTGTCATCAACATATCACCAATGCCTCAAGTTTCCGACAACGTTTGGGGTAAAGACCATTCGGGGATCCCAAGAAATGTCGAGACTTTTTGCATCGCGGCTGAGCTTAAACTCCGATTCAAATCCATGATTCCAATCAAGGCGTGCCTCGCGATCTTACCCACAACTCAAGTTGATTTACCATCTCAAGAAGGACCCAAGCGAAAGCTCGTCGTACAAGTAAACATCGATGAAAGCAATCCCGAACGATGCGTAGGAATTGGAGCTGGCCTAAAAGAAGAGATCAAGGTTGAGCTCATCAGACTTCTTCGCCGGAATGCATCGACGTTCGCCTGGTCGGTAAGCGATATGCCTGGGATCGTTCCCGCGATAACAAGTCACGAACTCAATATCGACCATACGTTTAAGCCGATCTAGCAAAAAAGGTGAAAGCTAGGTCCAGAAATGGCCAAGCTGTCAATGATGAGGTCGAGCGTTTGTCCAAGGCTAGCTTGATCATCGAAGTCAAATATCCGGACTGGTTAGCAAACCCAGTTGTCGTCAAAAAGAAAAACGGCAAATGAAGAATCTGCCTGGACTTCACCGATCTCAACAAGGCATGCCTCAAGGATAGTTTCCCCTTGCCACATATAGATCGAATCGTCGAGGCAACTGCCGGGAACGAGCTCTTGTCGTTTATGGATGCCTTCTCCGGCTATAATCAAATCACGATGCATCTCGAAGATCGCAAAAAGACATCTTTCATCACTGACCGGGGGACTTACTGTTATAAGGTAATGTCACTCGGATTAAAGAACGCGGGCGCGACGTACAACCGACTAGTTAACCACATGTTTGCTGATCAGTTGGGACGAACGATGGAAGTTAATATCAATGATATGCTAGTAAAATCACTCACCGCCGGCGATCACATCGGTCATCTACAGGCTTGCTTCACTGTCTTGAACCAATATCAAATGAAGCTCAATCCGACTAAGTGCTCTTTCGGGGTTACATCCGGAGAATTTCTCGGTTACATCGTCACTAAACGAGGTATCGAGGCAAACCCAAAACAAATCGATGCCTTAATCAATCTCCCATCACCTCGCAGCACTCGTGAGGTCCAACACCTCACCGGCCGAATCGCGACCCTCAACCGGTTTATCTCACGTTCCACCGATAAATGTCTTCCGTTCTATCAACTCCTCCGAGGCAATAAATGTTTCGAGTGGGATAGCAAGTGCGAGGAGGCATTCCAACAACTGAAGGACTACCTCGCGAGTCCGCCGATTTTAGCAAAGCCAAAGACGGGCGAAACCTTCTATCTTTACATCGCAGTATCGAGTTCAGCGGTGAGTGGGGTCTTAGTCAAGGAAGATCGGGGCGAGCAGAAACCGATCTTCTACGTCAGTAAAACTCTGGACGACGCGGAAAAGAGTTATCCAATATTGGAGAAACTCGCACTCGTGGTCATTATGTCCGCCAGAACGCTACGACCCTATTTCCAGTCTCACTCGATCATCGTCTTGACGAATCAGCCACTCCAAACAATACTGCATTGCCCGAGCCAGTCAGGTCACATGGCGAAATGGGCAGTCGAGTTGACAGAGTATAACATCGAGTATCACAAGACGAGTGCCAAATCACAGGTCCTCGCGGATTTTCTGGTAGAACTCCCCCCAGAATTAATCCAGACCGACCTCCCTGATGAGAAATGGTCTTTATACATCGACGGATCTTTCTCATCCCGAGGCGCAGGTATTGACATCCGTTTGGAATCCCCGACAAAGGAAATATTGGAGCAATCATTCCGGCTCGAATTCTCAGCTTCCAACAATGAAGTAGAGTACGAGGCCCTACTTGCGGGACTTCGCCTAGCTCAAGGAATCGGAGTCAAGAAGATTGAAGCTTTCTGCGACTCACAGCTCGTCGTGAACCAGTACAGTGGTGACTACGATACCAGGAACGACCGGATGGATTTGTAACTTAAAGCCGTCAAGAGTCTCACCGATCGCTTTGAATCTTTTTCCCGAGAAGCGACAACACTTCCGCGGACGCACTCGCCGCCCTCGCTTCGACATCTGAATCACACCAACGGTGCGTTATCCCAGTCAAAAGGATCAACGCCCCAGCATCATCTTACCTCAAGGAGTATGTGCCGTTCACGAGCTCGAAACGAACAGCGTAAACGCCAACAAATTGCCTCTCCCGGATGTCGTCGATGAGCCCGCAGAACAGGAACCATCAAATGACGACTGGAGGATCGAGATCTTGCTCTACATTACAGATGGCCAAGTTCCACCCGATCGATGGGCAGCGAGACGCCTTAAATCTCGAAGCGCAAAATACATCCAGTCACACGGCAACCTTTATCGATGGAGTTCGACAGGAGCCCTGCTCAATTGCCTACACGGTGAAGAGACACAAGATGTCATGAAAGAAACACATCA